ATGTTGAGACTGAATGCTGACAGTTTGGCCATGCTACAAAAAATACCAGTAACTAAGGAAGGCAGGATGGAGAGAACTACGTTGGTCTAAGACTAGAGAGACAATTAAGGGGGAAGGTAAGGACATCAATGATAGGCTAGGCTGAGAAATAGATAAACAGAAAACAAGGGAGAAAAGCACCAATCCTTTGCCCTAGAGAAACATCAAAAGGGGGTTATGTAAAAAGATATATGATGCAAATCCTGTGATTATCATCCAACCCTTAAGTACGGTAGTGAGCCATCCCTAAAATAATCTAAGTATCGTTACACTTCATCTGACAAGTCACTGCACATACATAGACAAGAACACTGGCCCGACAACATACTGACACTGCGCACATACAATCAGGGGAGGGCTGGCAGCCTCAGACCTGGGGGGCAAATCCAGTCAAGTGGCCCATTGCACCCCTGAACCAGCTCACCATCTATGCCCACCTTTTCCTGGTTTTATAACGGATATTGATGTTATGCTAATCAGTAGCTTTTTGCCATACCCACTCCTTTGTGGCTCCGACTTTCAATGTTGTTAGAGAGCAGGCTGAGAATCTCTGAGCCTGTGCTCTGACTCACTAACTAACCACAAGGGAGAGGATATGATCTAAGGCACCTACTGCTGGTGTGCACCAGCAGACCACTAGGGAATCATTTAAATTAAAGGCACACTCCAGTGCCAGGAGAACAAATTATTTTCCTGGCACATCAGGTCACCTCTCCCTCCCACCCCCCATCCAATGTTGCTGAAGGAGTTAGAACCCCTTCAGTGACATACCTGAGACCTCCGCCCACGCTTCTCCCCCGTTGACGTCATCCGGCGGTGGAGACTGATTGCGCATGCACGGCCGCCGGGGGCAAAACCTAATGCGCATGCTGCGCACGTGCATTCGATCTCTCCATAGGAAAGCATTGAAAATGCTTTCAATGCTTTCCTATGGGGGTTTTAGCGACACTGGAGGTCCTCAAAATAGCGTGAGGACGTCCAGCGACGCTATAGCACAGAAAACCTGTGCTATAAACCAGGAAGTGCCCTCTAGTAGCTGTCTAGTAGACAGCCACTAGAGGAGGAGTTAACCCTGCAATGTAATTATTGCAGTTTATGAAAACTGCAATATTTACAGTTGAAGGGTTAAGGGTAGTGGGAGTTGGCACCCAGACCACTCCAATGGGCAGAAGTGGTTTGGGTGCCTGGAGTGTCCCTTTAATGTGCTGGTGTCCCAAACGTGTGAGCTGTGTTGGCCACCGGGCGCCTCTGTTGTCATGGCACTCCACAGCTTGCACACCTCAAAGGCTGGCTCTGCTGACAGACACACTGGCACTCACTCTCAATAGCACACACACACAAACCCTGACAGACAAACACTCACTGACAGGCAGACACATACACACACACACACACAAACCCTGACAGACAAACACTCACTGACTGGCAGACGCAGACACACACACACTCACTTCCAGACAAACACACACTCACTTCCAGACACACACACACATTCACTTCCAGACACACACACACACACACACACACTCACTTCCAGACACACACACACACACACACACACACACACACACACACACACACACACACACACACACACACACACACTCACTTCCAGACACACACACTCACTCACTTCCAGACACACACACACACACACACTCACTTCCAGACACAAACACACACACACTCACTCCAGCCACACACACACACACACTCACTCATTTCCAGACACACACACACTCCTCACTTCCAGACACACACACACATCACACTCACTTCACACACACACACACACACACACACACACACACAGACACACTCACTTCCACACACACACACACACACACACACACACTCACTTCCAGACACACACACACTCACTCACTTCCAGACACACACACACACACACTCACTTCCAGACACACACACACACACACACTCACTTCCAGACACACACACACACACTCACTTCCAGTGACTTCCTGCTCCTCTCTGCTCCCTCGCGCAGTTTAGTGATGCGGGGCCGGAATGACATCATATTCCGGCTACTGGCATCACCAGAGAGGGCGCGCGAGGGAGCAGGAAGATCAGCAGAGGCAGTGCTCCCTCGCCGCTGCCTGCCTCCTGCCTCCTTCCTCATGAACAGTGGCCGGTATATTTCTGCAGGGTAGGCACCTGCCATCTGGGACAAGCAGGTGCCTACTCTGCCTTGCTACCGGGCGCACTAGGTGGCCCTGCTCCGCGTGGCACCCCCCTCCTCCTGGCGCCAGGGACCAGCCCTGCAACGGCCGTTTTTTAAATTATTTAGGGCGGCCTGGTGGGCAATTGCCTTCCTGCCCCCCGGCCCAGCCCGCCCCTGCATACAATTGACATTGAATATGTATTGACAATACATATCTATTGACATTGCATACACAGGAGCACCAACATGCACACATATTAACATTACGCGCATCATTTCAATAAGTAATCCCAACATACTTAAAATGTGCTCATACAGGTACATTGATGTGTCTATTGACAAAGTGTACTGATACACTTTGACACTGTATACACAATACAAAATGACAGTGCACTCAAAGAGACATTTGCATACATTCACAATAGTTATATGTCACGGTGCCGCAGGATGCGTGGCCGCACAGAAACATACCAGTCACCCCGACATAAATAACAAATAACTTACCTTGCTTGCGGCAGATCACTACCCGACCTCCTTCCATCTCGGTCCCCAGCATGTGCGGCATTACTAGAGATGCCAGCTGCTGCGGTTCCGATTTTAATAGGGAAATAGTCTTTGCCCATATTAAAGATGGTGTTTACGTGCGTGTGACGTCACATCATAGACGTGCATGCATGTTTTGGGGTCAGAGGTCTCATACAGCCAATTACAGCTTTAGGAGGGTTATTTAAACCCAAATTACCTTTTGATCAGTACCCTGACATGGTTTCCCTTTACTGATTATCCAAGAGTGTGTTCCTGATCATATTATTCTGGTTTTTGACTTTGGCTTCATTTTGACTTTCCTGATTTCTGGTATCCTTGACTTTTGGCTTTCCCTCATCGTTATGTCCCTTACTGTACCCCTGACCTCAGCAAGTATTCTGACTATTCTTGGATACGTTAAGTCCGGCCATTCTAAGGTCTCGTTAAACGTTATCCTTAGTCCTAGGTATGATATAATTCTGCGTGCTCGGTCAACTAGTAATTCTGACATTATATACATAAGCCCTCACAAGCTATATCTTTTTATTTAAAGCCCCCTCATGACATTAACACTCACACTTCAATTAATAATAATTGTGCCTGTGAGAGATTGACTGTTTATGTCATAAGTGTCTTTTACAACTGTTAATAATGAAAGTTTAAGTGTCTTATTACAACATTAAATAATGAAAATCAATAATGGTAGATGGGTGGACACTTCTACATTTCACACATGGGGGGGGGCAGTAGGCGGGCTGGCTTGTAGTGTGGGGTGCAAATATGTGTAGCCTAGTAGAAAGTAATGGTTCCCCTTTCGTTTGATGAAATCTTGCTATGTCAAAATGACCAATATGTACCTCCAAACAGAGGGCTTATAATAAATTAAAGTGAGTTTTAATAAAACATTTTAAATAACACTGAGTTTTTCCTAAGAGAGTTGTAGTGACTTCAGAACCATTTTGCAAAATTCACATTAAAATAGCCAAGTAGAAAACATCTGTAAACCTTAAAATTGAGCTATTTTTAGCTTTACTATTTTAGTCGAAAATTTGCAATTATCAGTTAAAAGTTAACAAGTCATCACAATTCCCCATATAGCGAATAGACTTCCATGTTATTTTACATCAGTCTATATTCTTTTACTGACACTGTAGAGGTTACTAGCATCAATGCTGGGATTAGCTCTGGTTTATTTTAATTTATTTTTTTAATCATAGAATCTTTTACCAAAGTGCCTATTCACTAAAACAAAGGGTTTTGATGAGTTAATCAAACTGCAAAATGTGGATCAAGGTGGATGAATAAAAAAAAATAAAAAATCATCAAATCATCTAAGTGGAGATAATTTTCTCACTTTTTTTTTTTTACCTAAATCAGTTGGAATATGTGTTCTCCACCCAGATAAATTATACAAATCATCAGCCACATGGTAGAACATAGATTGAATCTTTAGTTGCTTTAATTATAATTTGAGTTTGTCTTTTAAACGAGGGTTGAATTTTTTCATGAATGTCAAAATGTTCACTGTTAATTGAGCAGGGAATTAGTTAACTCGGTGGGTTTTATAGGAAACACCGAGTCAAAATATTTACTGTTAATTCAGCAGGGAATTGGTTAACTCGGTGGGTTTTATAAGAAACACCTGCTAGTAGGCAGACTCTCTTCAGCTTAATTATGTGTTGCATCCTTGTCATTGTTAAAATATTGAATAATCTTTGGTATCCAATGAACATCTTTCAGGGGAGGAGATTTCCTCCAGAAATCAGTGATCTTTCAAAGGCAACTGGTCCACATTGCAACAGCATTACACACAGAGATTTGAGCAGCAGTTTTCAATCCGTACAAACGTCTCTGAGATATTGCTTGGAATAATCTGAAGATATTATACTTCTGTAGCTGAGATTTCTTTCATCACTATGTTTATTATATTTATCTTTTATTTTGTATATTTATATTTCTCTAATCATATTTTTTTCCATCTATAACAACCACTGTGATTTAACCCATCAAATTTCTTTTATTTATTAACTCTTTGTCTGTAAGCTTGTTTTTCTCATCTTCTTAAGGCAGTTACTGCCTGTTTGGCTTTTGTTTGTCTTTATCCTGTTTTTAGTTGTTCTATCAGTTTCTTTTCCCATCATTTTTGCTTTTTTATTATTTTGTCAATACTTTCTTAAAACCATTTGTTTTCATGCAATGTTTCTTTGGTGGTTTGTAGATGCTAGTTAGTATTTTTTTTTTTCCTGAACATTATCGACAGTTCCAAAAGTTTCCTTGTCATTGTTTTTCTTCTTGCAGCTATCTAGATTTCTGTTTTTTATTTCTGTTTTTAGATTTTTTTTTAGAGAGTAAATTTTAACACCTGATTCATTTCAGTTCCCTGACAGAATGGATGACCAACAGAACATTAGTTCTGCCTGGTCAGATCATTTGTTCCCAGACCAATCCATGTCAAAGTACCTTAACAGCACTGAAGAATACCTTGCATACTTGTGTGGGCCAAAACGTAGTCGACTGTCACTCCCCATGACTTTAGTATATACAGCTATTTTTTTAGTGGGAGTCAGTGGGAATCTGCTGGTATGTCTTGTGATCTTAAAGCATCATAACATGAGAACTCCAACCAACTATTACTTGTTCAGTCTTGCTGTTTCAGACCTCTTGGTCCTGCTCCTTGGAATGCCTCTTGAAGTATATGAGATGTGGAGCAACTACCCTTTTCTTTTTGGTGCTTGGGGTTGTTATTTTAAGACTGTCCTATTTGAGACAGTATGTTTTGCTTCAATTTTAAGTGTTACCACCGTAAGTGTGGAGAGATATGTGGCCATAATTCATCCTTTCCAAGCCAAGCTTAAGAGCACTCGAAGAAGGGCACTTAGAATAATTGTCACTCTGTGGATTTTCTCTATTCTTTTTTCAATTCCCAATACAAGCACACATGGGATTCTACTGCAGTATTTTCCAAATGGGAGCCTTGTTCCAGACTCAGCTACATGCACTGTAGTTCAACCCTTATGGATATATAACTGTATTATTCAAGTGACGTCCCTGCTCTTCTATGTGCTTCCAATGGCAGTTATAAGTGTCCTCTACTGTTTGATGGGAGTCAAAGTAAGTGTTTAAATATAATTGTTTATATCATGGTATATATTTTCATATTTTATATGCTGTAAGCTTAGCATTGACAAAAAAACCCAATTAATATCATATAAGCTTTTCATTACACAAATCAGTGCGGTATAAAGGTTTTCACCTAAGTAGGTCCTTTTTCAAAAAAGGTTTTAAAAATTGATCCTGGACTAAAACTTATTTTTTTTTTTTTTTTTTTTTACTAGACTGCTCTGTTTCACTTGAACATTGTATATGCTGCAGCCATTCATGGATTGTGCCAGGGCAAATTAATTGAGAATGTTTGCCATTTTGTGTGTGCGCATATATATATGTAAGGCTTAAGGATTTTCAAGTGAAATCTAATTTCATATTTGGTTTAAAATTTTGAATACATAACATATAACAAAAGAACATTAATAAAAATGCTCTCAAAGTGCAGAGGCAAAGATCGGGAATAGCAAAATAACACAGTAGTATTTATAAATACAATAAACAAATATGTATTAATAATTGTAATAGTGGATTAAGGGAAATGGAATAAAAAGCCTGATATGGTGGCTACTGTGATCTGCAATTTCTTCTCAAGCTCAACAAGCTGACTGGCTAGGAATCTTTATAAGCTTAGTTTACAGCCAGCTGGCATGCCAAAGGCTTTTTATTTAAGTTAAATATCATCATAAAGCATGTGAGTGGCATTGATTAAATATATTGCTGGCAGATTAGAATGTGAAATTAAGTAATGTATTTAAATTAGAACTAAGCAGCATTGAACCCCCATAGACTAGTATACATTTCTATTGAATAATTAGTGAGCATGCGTTTTTATCTTCACAGGCTTTTCATCTATTGGAAAAAATGAATGAGAACCACTCGTTCAAGTAAATAGAAGTGGTCAGCTGGTTCCATTCACTTACATTTACCACTAACTTCTCATTGGGTGCCCTGAATTATTGTGCGCTCATGCTCATTTAAGCCAGCTTAAAGGGATTCTCCAGTGCCAGGAAAACATACTAATTTTCCTGGCACTACAGGACCCTCTAGTGCCCCTCTACCTCTCAACCCCCATCCCAAGTTGCTGAAGGGGTTAAAACCCCTTCAGTGACTTACCGGAGTCCAGCGCCGATGTCCCTGGGTCAGGCTCCGCCTACGCTCCTCCCCCGCCAATGTCAGCCAGCAGGGGGAGACCTAATGCACATACACGGCTGTCGGCAGGGGGAGACCTAATGCACATGCACGGCAATGGCCGCGCACATGCATTAAATCTCCCCATAGGAAAGCATTATGCAATGCTTTCCTATGGGGATTTCGGCGACACTGGAGGTCCTCACATAGTATGAGGACGTCCAGCGTTGTTTTAAAACACTTTTCGTGTTTTATGAACACGGAAGTCTCCTCTAGTGGCTGTCTAGTAAACAGCCACTAGAGGAGGACTTAACCCTGCAAAGTAATTATTGCAGTTTATGAAAACTGCAATAATTACAATTGTAGGGTTAAGAGTAGTGGGAGTTGGTACCCAGACCACTCCAATGGGCAGAAGTGGTCTGGGTGCCTGGAGTATCCCTTTAATTTCCTGATGAACCAAAACAAATCTGGTTTGCCCAGTGCAGATCATGACAGATTTTACTGAGGCTCAAATTCTAATTCAGAGTGTCTGAATTGTTCTGAATCACTAATGCAAATTCGACCTTTAGTTTAAATGTGTTTTGTAAAGCTTGTCACCTTTTCTACCTCCTTTTCAGTGTCTGCTCTATCACATCAATTATGTACCTCTACATTGTGCAACTCCAATTTTCCCGAATACCTGTATTTTTTGTTTTGTGTGCCCATTTCTAATCTCTTAAAATGTTTTCTATCTTAATTTACCATAAGATTATTTTATGTAATTTCTTCCAATTTTGTGCTCTGCAAATATATCTCAACAAAATAACTGCTGTTGGTGGGAGATAATAGTTATTATTATGGTAACAAATAGATTTAATAAAGAACACACAAAAGGCACAGAACTAATTATGGACAATTCTGTCATCACAATCTGTGTACTAAATACCATTTACGTCACAAATGTTAAATTCATTAAAGGGACACTATAGTCACCAGAACAACTACAGCATAATGTAGTTCTTCTGGTGAGTACAATCATTGCCTTAAAGCATTTTAATGCAAACACTACCTTTTCAAAGAAAAGGCAGTGTTTACATTGCCCCTAGGGACTCTCCAAGTGGCCACACCTCAGATAGCCACTGGAGGTGCTTCCTGGTTCAGTGCTGCAAAGTAGGCAGCGGTTTCGTTCAGCATCTCCACGCTCTGCATGGGGACGCTGAATTTTCCTCATAGAGATGCATTGATACAATGCATCTCTATTAGGAGGTGCTGATTGGCCAAAATGGTGTTTGGCCCTGCCCCTTGCCGATTAGCATTGGATTGGCTAACAGCCTGCAGTTCTGATGATGTCACCAAGGGGGCTGAGCTAGCGCCAGTGGACCCGCGCAGCGCTGGAAATAAGGTGAGTTTAATTGCTTTTAAGGGGGCTAAAGGGGAGACAAGCCACCTAAATGGTGGGTTTAACACTAATGGGGCAAGAATACATGTTTGTGTTCCTGACCCTATAGTGTTCCTTTAAGGATCAGCAGGTCTCTGCAATGCTGCTGATGATAGTCAGAACATGTCATGATGTTATAGGGTCTTCAAAGGCTTTTGTACGATGATGGCATAGACAAGCTATTCCAAAATGAAATACCTTAATTTTCTATCGAAATAACTTTACTTTGGAATCAGTTGCAAAGTCAGATAAATAACCTGTTAGTGACCATTCATAGAAATTTCAGAGATTTTAAAGAAGAGATAAGAATTATATTAGACATAACATAATAGTAAAAAACATCAACTACTATGAAAAAAGATTGCTTGAGCATGTCCATCCACTCTAATACTCTGGAACTGGTGATTTCCTTATTACTTCCCAAAGTCAATTTGTGTTTTAGTCATATGCATAATTAATTTAAAGATGTGATCATATGATGTAATTCACCATTTCACAAATATTTTTGGGGGGCAATTCAGAACTGCTATTCTCTTTAACACTCATTACTTGGACTTATCACTAATACATTTTTCCACCTAAACGTTAATGCCATACATTACACCATCCTTCGTTTATTGGTTCTTCCTATTGGCTACTTCTAAATGGAGAAATGAAATAATTAGAAACATAATTAACACTCATTCTTATAAACCCTTAATATTAGGTATTTAAAGATGACTGCCAGGGGCGCCATCAGGGAGTACAGCCAGGAGACCTGTATGGGGCCTAGGTAACCCAGGGGACCTGACGTGCCCAGGCCCTATATCCACAATGCAAATATAGCAAGGATAACTCTCTCTCTCTCTCTCTCTCTCTATATATATATATATATATATATATATATTCAAATCTGAGGGCCCATGAACACTGTCCTCTTGTGAGCCGCAGCCAACAGAGAGTTGCAGTGGCTTACCATAGCAACGCTCCATGCAGTGTGCATGCCGGGCTCATGAGAAAAGGAAAGGCTGACAGTGGAAGAGAGAGTCTGCTGGGCCCCCTCGTCACCACACATGCTGGACCACCAAGGAATCTAGGAGTAAGCTTGATCTTATGTCAAGACACTCATTTTGCTTAACCCTTTCTTTACTGTCCACCAATAGCAGCAAAGAATACAAACAGTAAGATAAAAATGGTATACATAGCGATAAGCCACTCCCATACCAAGTCCCAGTATAATAGTCAGCACCTCCCATCATTTTTCCTCTTTCTTTGCTGCTCCACACAAGATAAGTACAACAAATGTTACTCTTGCCAGTAGCTGTTTTTTTCACATTTATCTCTTTTGATTACTTATTATTTAGTAATTGCTTCTTATTATTATCTTATTATCTTCTAGTAAACCTGATTTTTTCCTGTTTATTTATTCTGTTTTGTATCATATTAAGTTAAATTATTTTACCTTTGAGTCCAAGGTTCCACACCTTCCTTTGGAGAATTCTTACATGCATTTCTCCTCTCCCTTGAGCTTCACTTTATTGCTCCTATTTTCATATCCTTTATCTTCTTATTTTTTCCTTATTTTCTAAGCTTTTTTTGTCTCTCCCACTTCTCCCTGACTGTTTGGCGCCAATTTGCACCTGTTTCCTCACTTCTGTTCAGCTTTTTTTCGTGTCTGAGTTAAGCCCTTTTGGCTAAACTTGCCACAAATCTGTGCCGTTCGTTAATTTGACCGGCATTTGGTACCGTTCGACTATTTCGCCACATTTGAGTGCTTTTGCCGTGAATGGTTTTTTGTTCGGCTGTTTTGCTGTGTACTGACCATTCATCAGTTTATTCCTCGGAATTAGTCCTGTTCTGCCAAACTTTCGGTTCGCGAAT